CGTGTATTTGAATAAATACAGTATATTAAGGACCTGTGTGAAAGAGAGGCTGGTGATATTGGGGTAGTGATGTTCTTTTTGATTTGTGTTGTCAGAATGCTGAACGTAATAGGTTTCTAGGCCATGATTAGGGTTCCTAGCAACTTCAGTAGTATAGATAATAAATCATAATACTAGGAGTAATACTGATTTGCAATTGTGATAGATAATGTGCAGAATGAAGAGGAAAAATGGAGTTCCATTTTAGCCTTGCTGAGTTGTTTGATGGTGAGATACCCGATAGGTATCTTAGTGAAACCAACAGTAGGTTGGTGCTGGTCTGCATAGAAGCTGGAGCCAGTATAATTAAATCAGTTGTACCTCACTCCTTCAGTAATTTCAATACCCATGTGTGTGGTCACTCTTATTTCAAACTAAGAGTAGCCTGATTTGTTGTAACTTCAGTTAATAAAGAAATACAGTGTAGAGTCTACACACAAACAAATTATAAAAGCTAAAGAAGTAGTGGTGGGGGAGATAACTTACTATACAACAGCTGTTTCATGTTAACTCTTTTGAATGGCCACTGTATCCTGTGGTACAAGAAAACCATTAATGGTTGTTTCATTCCAGGGTAAACTTCCCTAGTCTAACTTCCACTAAAACTGGATAGCGTGGATGCATGAAACAGTTATTGCAGAGCAGCAGCATAAATGTCTATGCACGCCCCTTCCCTCTTTACCTCAGGGTAGTTTGTTCATCCGTCCACACCCTTGGCCAAAAGGCATGTGGGAATCTTATGCTAGAACCAGGAGTGGAGCCCACTTTACAGAACAAAAGATCAGTGTCTTAATCACAAGGCCAACCTTTCTCTAAGATCATATGAAAAAAATCCTTAAGCCATATGGATCTGAGTAGTTACCTTTTTAAAAAAGTGAAGTTAATGCCTATATGCTTTTTTCTTGTCATGAAATCTAGCCCCTTTCTAATCCTCCCCAACTGAATTCTGTAAATAATTTGTAAATGTGTGATTTCCCATTCTTTTCTAACGGATGATTGGGTGCTTGTAATGAGAGGCAAAGTGAAGTGTTCTCCTAAGTGCTTTAGTGTTGAATGTTGAATTCATATTTTGATTGGTAATTGGCCAGTGGTTTTAGTCTCTATTCAGGTAAGATAGCCATTGACATCATTGGGATTTTTTCCTGTTTAAGGATTTCATGGTGAAACTTAATGTTGGGTCCAAGGGAGCCAGATCCTCTGGTGGTTTCAGCTCATGTGACTTCAGTGGAGCTACAGATTTACATCAGTGTAAAATGTATCCCTAGAGTATTATAATGCTAATTCATACAGTAGTCTTCATTCAAAGATCACACATCATTTTACTGAAGTGAGCTAAATATCATTATCTTAATTTTATGGATGAGGAAACTGATGCATGGACAGCTTGAGTTTCCATGGCAAACCATGGCAAACCCTTTGGACAGTTAGAATGAGTCAGTGATTTTGCTCACTACTTTCCTGTGCAATAACCATGTACCAAACATTAATATTAGCCAAGCATACAATATGAGTTTGATTACATGAATTAACTGTATGACTGGGTGACAAGGTATAAAAATTATCCACACAGCCCCTCCCAAGAAAGATAAAAGTTTCACGTACTGTATCTAGATTGACAGAATAGGGCAAACAAAAACACTAGAGTTAGAAACGGTTGCATGTTGAATGTATATAGGTTTAGACTTGTATTGAGTAGCAATGCCATTTTTCCCAGATACTTAGAACAATAGTGTTCACACTTCTTATAAAAAGTATCTCCATTTACCGGTATATAGATATGTGTGCAAGTGTGTAGGTCTGTATAATTATGCCACATTGACCCTTGTCTATATTTCCTTTCCAGTGAACATGTGGGTGGCTGTGCAAATGCAGAGGAGGGAAAAAAATGTTCATCTTGCTAGATTTATATTATTTTAATTTAAGCTTCAGTTCCATTACTTTTTGATTAAACATACTTCTGTCCAGTGCTATCCATCTTTTATCTCTATGAAATCTGCTCCTGAGCAGAAAGAAAGATGACACCTGAATTATGCAGAATTCATTTTCTATCTATTTTTCTTAAAATGCTAGAGAGTCTTTTTCATAATCCCACCAATCTCATATGTGGCTTGCTCTAATCCTCTGCCTTTTTCTGAATGTTCAACTGCCAAGCTTTGGCCTTGTCTATATATTTTCTGGTAGCGTATTTTCTTGAATGTCATTTTCCTCAGTAGAGATTGAGCTTATTGGGGTATAATGCTTGTAGAGGTTTATTACCCATTAATTTTAAGAAATTTCCATCATTAAAAGTGTTGATTTATGCACATAATTTTAACTATAGACACATGTACATGTATATATGCATGCATGTAGGGAGATTTAACTGGTAATTATATCCTGATCTTTCTTTCTGGATAAGGATTGCTTTATTTAATTATTTCTATAGTTTGATCTTAAATGTGTATTGACTCAATTGATGATGAAAAATATATTTCCTATATTGAAGTAAGGGAAGTATCCTATTATCAAGTAACTCCATACATTTTTTGAGTTGATATCTATTCTTAGAGATCACCACAAAGGCCCAATGGTAGGAAGCAATACCGGTAACTCTTATATAAAATTCTTTATTCTTTGTTGTGCTTGCTGACATGGGGTACCTGCCATTTAAGGTGCATTACGCTGCTGAATGTGCTACAGTGGCTGGAATTAATGCACAATACGCTGCTGACGTGGGCAAATACCAACACCATTAAAGCGGTGCAAAAGGATTTAAACCACTTAAAGTGTCGTGCACACATACCCCTTGTTTTGTCTACACACGCCCATGGAGTCTAATCTTAAGCCAAAGCCTGTATTACACTAGAAACTGTTACATGCACACACATAGTTCCACTGGAGTCAATGAATGCATCCAGATGAGTGCGCGTGTGTGGTTTGTGGCTCTCCTAAGATGTTTGAGGCACCACAAACCACACTCAGAGCATGTGCACCTATTTACCGAGCTGCTAATTTTCCCAGTGCCCAAATTTGATAAAAGGAGATCCCAGTATCAAAAAAAGCTGCGTCAAAAAAAAGTGTTGCAGTGCACATGGCAGTATCTTGCACTGCCAGAGATGGACCCTAGCCATCCATAGCCACACTCTGGCTGCTGGCCATGCTCTGTGTGGCTGGATCCGCACTGCTGTTGCCCTGGGAGACCCCCAGTATCCCAGGTATGGCTGCTGGGGCCAGCATAGGTGCTGGCCCCAGCCCCCCCTACCCCACCCTGGACATTTTGGTGCATGCAGGTGTGTGGCCTGGGCCACAAAGCAGCAGCACAAATATATGCCGCTGCCATTTGTGCCATGGCAAACGCATGCCCCTGTATGGGTGCACTCATCTGGACGCACCCACTGAGATCATCATGTGGGTAAACCTTTCACATGTTAGGAACAGTTTGTAGGATTTGACCTGTAAGACACTGTAAACGACTTAAGTCTGTGAGTGACAGGAAGGAGAGGAGAAACGGATTGAAAGATTTTATAAAAGAGTAATGAGAAGCAAAACTGCCTGTGGGTTTTTTGACCCTTTGTCAAAATTGCCGTGTCACACCAAAATCCATTCAGTATTTTCCCTGTTTTGATTGCGGGGTAGCAGATCATCTCTAGCAGTTGTCCCCTGCAACCTCCTCCCCAACCCCATGCCCCTGGAGCAGGTTCCTTGGCAGCACACTGATCCTTGTTCAAATTCCTGCATCCCATTTTGAATACAGGAATGGCTTTCACAAGCTGAAGCCATCGCTGTTGATAGATTTTATGGGTTCCAGGAACTCTGCAACGTTCTGCAAAGTTGTATTTCATGAGAGGATGAGGAAGGAAGTCTGGAGAGAAGCAGCAGAAGATGATAGTGGGAGTGGAAAATTTAAGAGGGGAGATAAGCAGAACTCAGAAGGAAAGTGAAAAAGTGGACAAGTTTTTGTCACATTGCTCACAGGGATCATCGTTCTTTAGATAATCTTTCGGTTCTTCCCTGCTTAAACTGTGGTATCAGGGCAGGCATTGATTTAATGCTTGCTACTTCTTTTCTCCTTGCCCTGTATATATAGTGAGGTTTTCTGCTTAAATGATGTGTTATTGCTGGGTTATACTAACACACTTTGTGGGTGTCTGGAATCTGTCTGGCTGACTCAGAACCGAATAAAAATATTTCACTGCTTTATGGAGGCCGCATGGAATTTTTTGCTAGAGCAGCTTCAGCTTGTTTCCGGGAGATATGCTTACATAAAGCCTGTGCCCATACATCTCAGGTATCAAAAATATGCTACTTAAGACATTAATAATTAGACAGTAGAATGCAAATGTTGATATGTCTTTGCTGACATCCAGAGAAATGCAGATCTCCCTCCTTTGAAATCCCAGTGTAATCATTGCTGTTGAGCCCTTTCAGAAGGATTTTAAACCCTGTCTGTGTCTTTGTTATACTTTGGTTCCTCTGTCGTTAGTGCTGTCAATTTTTTAGGCCATGTTAATTAAAAACATCATTTTATATTATCACAACAGGATTCAATATTAATTGTCTCTAAAATTCTCATCCTTCATAGTCCTTTGCTCATAACTGTAGCCTGGTAAATCCATTGGTGCTTATTACAACTCTGAGCTTGACACAGTTTCTGCTAAAGAGGAATTCAGCTCAGACTGTCAGAAACTGAGAGTCCTAGACCTATCTCCAAACTGCTTAGCTAGTACTAGAAAAGAAATGATCTTCTCTACAAAGAAAATACGGAGTAAACTGGTCTTGTTTTTATGAACATTTAAATATTCTGTAAGTTCTTAAATCCAATGCCTTTTTTATTACTTTTAATAGTTCTTATGTTGAGAGAACCATTTTATATTGAGGCTGTCTTGAAAAGAAATTGCTCAGAGTTCTGGTGGGAAGCTGTCACTTGAAATGTGTCACCACACATTTATTAAATGAGCGTATGCTTATTTTTCCCATTTTAGGGGTCCGTCTAGACAGAGTACGTGGAGGTCGCCAGAAGTACAAGCGCAGAATAGATGCAGAGAATAGCCCATTCCTGAACCCTCAGCTAGTTCAGCCAGCAAAAAAGCCATGTAAGTACATCAACTGTATCATATTTCTCTTTGCATACAACCTTCAAGAGGGTCAAATCCTGATCCCTTCTCAGCTACCGCTGACTTCTGTAGGATAAGGATTTTACCCTAAGAAGCCACCATAGATGCTATGTGTCACCCATTTCTCTGGTAAGAATATTTTTCATTGCTCATATTATCTTCCTCCTTTCTTAGACAGACTCAAACAAAGACTTTTTACAGGTGGAAGCATGTTTTATGCAGTGCAAATCTTACATTTACAGGATATCTTTATTTTCAGTGGTACATAAAACAGTTCATACTGTGATCATTAGTTCATTGGAGCTGCTAGTTTCAGATTTCACAAGAAAGTGATTTTTGTAGTTTTCACTAAGTAAATGAGTTTGACTGCTCAACCTCCCAATGAAAATACATTAGGAGCCTCATTAATTTATAGCTATAGAAAGTTAACACACTAGCTAGCATTATATTAAAACAGGAGTATGCCACACTAATAACAAGCATAGGTTGATAGTTCTGTCTCTGATACCCTTATGGGCATTATGGGGCATTTTTACAATGTCCTTGATTTTATCATGCTAGGCTGAAATTAATAAAAAGACAGAGAAAATAGCTGGTCATCCAGTGCTGAAATACAAGTCCCATCCTCTGTGCGATTGACTAAAAATAGTTGGAGGTTTTTCTCTACGGCTTATAGAAACTCAAGCAGCAACTGTGCTAATTCCATGAAGTAAATTTAATAGCATTATAGCTGTAGTGCAGAAGACTAGTGTATTAGGCATGCATTCCCTCCCAGGTGCGTGAGAGCTCTTCTGTATTTGGATCAGAATTCCCATGTGCAGTTACACTGTCAACAGGCTGCTTTGCGATGAAAGCAGAAAAATGAGCCTCCAGGGAATAAAACAAACATGGAGGCTTGATCCTCGTGATATTACCTGGTTGTGCAGAAACCTTGTCTTTCCCGTGCATCTTTCAGCTGATCTTCCCCAGTAGGGGACACTGCTGTGTACAATACACATGAGCATATGGGGATCTGCAGAGCAAATAAACAGTCTTTGAACTGTAAGCAAAAGGGCATTTTAGCTATGTCAAAGGAAAAACAACCAGTTTTACATAAAATTAAGGCTTAAGTGGACATATGGCATAGTTTCCTTTTGCCTTTCCAAAAAACATTATGCTGATTATACCTTCAATTGTCCAATCTGGCATCTTCTACTCAGCCTGCATAAGCTGTTCTACCATTCTGTAAATACAATCTAGGGCTGCATTAAGCAGATTTTGCGCATTATAATAAAAAAAACTTTCTGATAATACAATAACATTTAATAAACTCTAATGCTTAATTTCATTAGAGGTTTATTTTTTTTCTGCATGCACAGATTGCCAGATTTTCATTTATTTTATATTGTCATTGAGTCGAAATGTTGATAGCCTGTTGCTTTGAAAAAAAAGAAAAGAAAAGGAAATCCCAGCCCTTTAATAGAGACACAGGTTAAAACTGTCATGCTGAAACTTTTAAGAATCCCTGTGTAAACCTGAGATTACTGGGAAGTAGTGTGTCACAATACCTTTAAGGTGCTAACTATGCTCATTTCAGTAAGCTCCATTTGTTTTAGATAAACTAACCTCCGTATAAATCATTATTCATTATCTGAAGGCCTCTCTTAATTTTCCTCCATTCACCCAATTACAAACATTTTTGTAACAGACATTTATAAAACTTTAGTTTTCACATTCTGTCAAATAAGTGCCAAGAAATAGTTGAATTGGTTTTGTTGAACAAGTAGCCTGAGAGATTTTCTGGACCCTGACTGATAGTTTGTGCATAACAAAGGCACAGGAATGAAAATTGGGTTCTATTGATTCTAATTAGGGAAACATTAAATAAGATTTACCTAGAAACAGTGCTCATGGCTATTCAATTTCCTCAGTGATACGGCTTTCTGAGCACACTCAGAAATTTCCTATGCCTTGAACTAAAGCATGCTTCAATACATGTAGTCTTTTCCCTGTAGTGAAATACCTGGGATTCAGAGGTCTTTGAGGGGCCTTTTTCTGCCCCTTTTCTCATTCCCCTCTTTGCAGAGTCTAATGATCTGCCTATCAGTCTTTTTGTATTGGCAAAATAATGGAAGTTGAGACTTAGTGAAGGGTAAATGTAAATGCACAGTATTCTCAAATCATCTAAGAGAAACAAACATTTATCTTTGATGAAGATCCTATGATTAGAAAAGGGGAAGTTCAGGATATTTCCAGTCTGTCCTAGTGTATGTTTGCACTGAGAAAACATGGATTTTGTGAGCATTTACCCTACCTATCTTCATTAACTTATTGTAATTTAAAATCCATATGGTTTATGTCTCCATCTGCATGCCATTTGATATTAATGTTGGGCCCATTTATACATAAGAAGAAAAATAGAATTTGCTTATGTTGCTTCTCACTGTGTGTGGGCACATTGAATTAATGTGAGAAAATATGGCTGAATCCTCTTTCCTCTTTGGAAACAATGTTTTCTAAGTTAAACAAACAACCACAGGCATAACAGAAGACATGTTGATTCTTAAAAAAATAAAAAGTTTTAAAAATTATGTTGGAGGGCTTTTTTGCCAATAAAAGTTAGAATTACCATCTGTCATCCTTAGATAAGATTAAAATTCCCCATTAATCAGTTTGATAATCTTCAGAATATTGAAATAAAGAATTATTTAGTTGGCAAGGCTCCTACAGTTCATATAAAACATGAATATATCCCCTAGTAATAAAACATACTTGATGTGATGCTTTCCAGTTGGCTCTGGCTCTTATTTTATGAAGGACTAACATATATCACAACTTACTAACACACAAATTTGTAATAAGGCTAAAATACTGGAGACAATACATCAGAACCAAGGAGTCAGTGTCACAAAAGAGCAGTAAAGTATCAGAAATCAGAATCAAGCCAGTATATTTATGGAAATTTGTCATAAGCAGGTATGGAGCCTGTCCTGTAGTCTTTATGCAAGCCGAATTCCCTTTTACTTCAGCCTATCTCTGACACGTGGAGAGAGCAGAGAACAGTGCCAGCTTCATCAGCTTTCACCATACCCAAAAGTTCAGGGGGTTGGTCATCTCACGATCAAACCCCATCTATGTCAAACTATGTGAGTTTGTTCCAGGGGATTAATATGATTAGATTAAATTCTGTAACGGACTTCTGTTCGGCCCCTATGGGCCACTGTTTTGTACCCTGCTCATGTGTTTCCGGTATGCCACAAGGTGTCCCTCTGCCTGAAAGATGGGATGGGTAGGGGCACAGTGAGCAGGCGTGAAGGGCAGTCCATTTTCTACAAATATCCTACTGAATTTAATGGAAGGTGGATCAGAGTAAAGGCATCTTTGTGCAGCTCAAATTAAAGCCTCAATATAGGCATTATACTAATTTTATTTTCATACTGCTTATCTACTGTAGAGTTGTGGTCACCTTGTAATAAACCCATGAAGTTATCTTCCTGTTTTTTTCCACCGTTCATTCTAGTATAATTGATTATTCCAGATAGAGCAACTGTAGGCAAGAGTAAACATTAAATAAAAGGAAATGTTGCATTGATAAAATAACAAGTATGTAAATATAATCAATGATTTCTGTGCACAAATGAGCTTCCTCAAATAGGGTCTGATTCTCATGTCACATAAGCCGGTTCCACATCTATATTTTTCCATTGTTCACAGTGAAATTAATCCAAATTTTGCTTCTGTATAAATGAAAAAATGATCAGGCCCCGCAATGTTTAAGATAATAGAAGGTGATTTCATTTGGTTTAGAGTTTGTGCATTTCACAAATATACAAATATCAGTAGCACTTATTTAATTCCTCCAGTTCACGCATATGGGACTGAATATTTTAAAAGAGCACTTATAGGTACTGTAAGATATATGGAGTGATAGCCCCTTGGACACGCCTTTGTTCAAGAATCTGATATCTGAGATGAAGAATACCAATTAGTGTCTCTAACAGAAATGACATATTTTAACAATTCACTAACTGTGTGTGTGTTTTTTTATTCAGATAAAAATATATTTGTTTTTCTTCTATTAAAACTGCTACATCCATATTTACCTTTATAACATCCACTGTTATAAATAACAAAAAGAAAGTTCTTTCTTACCTAGGAATTAAACAAAATCCAAAGTTCTCATTTTATGAAACCTAAAATAAATTTCAATACTAAAAAAAATTGCCCATGAAGATTTTATTCCAAGTGCTATAATTTAACTGCTATTTATTGATAAACTGAATTCATAATAGTTTCTTAGTAACGTGCAGTTTGTCCTCTACGTTGTAAATGTTTATACTGCACTAAATTTTGTCTTTGGTATGTATCCTTTTTAAGTCATTGGAGTTTCACAAGGAGTGAGTTTGGTCCAGTATTTTAAGCTAAATTGTATGCATTGTGAAACATACCTTACTTCATAGAAAAATAGAGTGACATTCCTAGTGATTTTGCACTGTTTGGGTCAATTTTTACAGATAACAAGATTGTCTCTCATTTACTGGTGGCTGAACCAGAGAAGATCTATGCCATGCCTGACCCCACTGTTCCAGACAGCGACATCAAAGCGCTCACCACCCTTTGTGACCTGGCAGACAGAGAATTGGTGGTCATCATTGGATGGGCTAAGCATATTCCAGGTACATAAAATTAGAAAGCAGTAACTTCCAAAGATGCCATCAAATTACACTGTGTTACCCTTTGCTGGAAATGTTTTTTTCATTTCCTACAGTTTTTCTTTTCTTTTTTTAAGACTGTAGATTCATTACAGGAATGTTGATGAAAACATCAAATGTTTTGGAAATTGTATTATTTTTTACATTAAAGTCACTAGTTGAGTTATAAGTTTTACACAGTGATCAAAAAAAACAAGCTTTTAACTTATTCCTTTTATCAAGATGGCCCAGGATCTGTGATGCAACTTAACTGAGTAAATCACTACACGGTAAGGAGGTGCAAAAATTTGTTAAACCTCACCTTTACATCCCACACCAATCCTTCTACAGTTCTTTGCAAGGCCAGTTTCTCTGTACCAGCTTAGAGCAGCCTAAAGGTTGCACAAAGTTACACTTATAATGCTGTGATAGTAGGGCTACATATGTAGTAATTAAGAGTGGACATGATGCAGGGGAATGCTGATCTCTTCCCTTCACCCATTTTTATACCAGAAGTAGTTGTCATAAGAACCCTTACACTGGCTGTGAGACATAGGAGGATCAACGTTAAACTGGAATAACATTCCCAGAGCCAACTAAACTGATTTTAGGGCCATACTATGGCAGCAATGCCATAGAAAGCAACTATACTGTATCTTAATCTTCCTGTGGTTTGCATAAAATGGAGTTACTATAATTAAAGCTAATTGGCACTCCTGTTGGCAATCTCATCTGAGACAGTAGTCAACAAACATAATCTCTCAGAGCAAAGTGTGCACTAGGTCAGGATTGCAGATTTTTTTTTCTTTTACTGAGAGACGCATGTACCTGTTCAGTGGGTTAATAGACAAGTTAAGTCTCCAGGGCTGTCAGTCTGTCGCCTTTCACAAACATTAGGTTCACACAAAAAATGTGTGAGATTTTTATTTAAAAAAAAGATCTAGCAGAATATTATTCTAGCAGGATAACAGGACACATTTGTGCATTTCAGTCAGCTTGTTATTTTGCTAATTTCCATAGCAGAGCCTTAAAAGGCTAACCATTAACCATGAGAACTAATATCCTTTAATTGCCCTGGGCAATATAGCAACCTTCTTTTAGATTTCATTTTACCCAGGGGATACTCTGATTCACCTTAATGCAAATCGATAATCCAGACAACTTTCTATTTATCAGAGTTTAAAATATTTTATATTTTCAGTACGATTGGAAAATGCACCATTATTGTTGTCATATTAACAGGCTAAACAGACTCCGTGCATATATATATACATACATCAAACCAGAATACTGGATCTTGTTTACTCGTTTAGACAGAAAATACATGCAAGAGCAGATAGTTAGCAACTGTATTTTAATATGTTGCTTTGTTCCTAAGATTCTTTTGCTTTAAAACTTCTTATGGCAGTAAGGCATAAGGGTAGTGGTTTGTCTCCCTGTGTGTTTTACTGTACGAACTGCAGTGGGATCCCGGCTCTTCCAGGGCTTTCTGGACTATACTACAGTATAAATAATAAGAATATCATAAATTATAGGCCTGGACAGCATGATTTTATTTTTTTAAGGAGACTGCATCCTATCACTTCCGATAGAATCCATATTTAGCCCAGATGAAATTTAGTTCTTTAGGGTCTGCCCCAGAAATGGTTTATAAGTAAGCTTTTGTATTGCGAGCAATGTTTTTCTGGTACAGTTAACTTATTTCTGTCTCCTTAAACTAGTTTGTCTTTATGCTTTGAATGCTACAGTAATTTCTTTAATCAAATTGATGGAAGTCCCTTTCCCAGCCCACACTGAAACCAATTTATTGGTCATGATACGCCAGCTATGTTGCTAACAGTCGTAACGAACTGTCAGGCAATATCGCAGTGAAGCTAATTTGAAGTCATTAGGTGTGCAGCGTTCAGGCAACAATTTGTTACAGTGGTTAGGAACACAGCTGACATTTCTGAATGGCTTTGTTCAGAGCAGTTTTAGATGAGCCCAAGCAAATTGTAAACTAATTTAAACATCACTCTGTATTATACTGGCTACTTGGCTTACACTGGTTGCTAATAAAGCACCCCAAATTAAGTCCAAACTAGTTAAATAGGTGAGTTTGAGTTTCATCTTTGGGCGATACCTACACCAGTCTAAGCGAAATGCATCACTAGGGTTAGAAGTCAGTCATACACCACAATGATTGCCCAGGGCCTTTTATCAATTTGATTTGTGAATATGTTGCATAGCTTTGATGTGATGGGAGTGAAAGTGGAGTATGCACATGTAGGGGAGGGAGACGACTAAGCATTCTTTAAAAATGTTCAGTGTGTGCTGCTGGTGCTGGACACTGTAAACCGGCTTTGTAAATTTAAAGCCCTCAGTCTAAACTGGTTGAAGGAAACTTCCATAGTAAGCCCATCCTGATTTTATGAGAAGTCAAAAAGCAGACCTGCCATGGTAAAGGCACAGAAAAAAGAAAGACTAAATAGGGAACAAAGTCAATCTTTTCCAAAGCCTTTTGATAAACAGAAGTCAATGATAAAAATCTGTGCTTGCTGTTTGACTTTAGATCACAAAAATCAAAATACAGAAGGGCTTGACGTGCTAAAGGGCAAATTTGATGAGCATGATCTTAAGGTTTGTAGTTTGGTTTGAATGATGGAGCACCGTTGAACTTGGACTGCCTAAGCACAACTAATGGCTGGCATTGGCACAGTACAACTTGCCGAGAAGCTTACAGTTGTGCTGTGCTGTGAATGTGCCAGCAAATGTTACTCTAGGACATGAAACAGTGGACATAGAAAAGGGGATTATTCATCAAGGGAACAAGAGAAGAAAAGGTGTAAAGTATAATGTAGTCACGGTGGGCTAAATAAATAGCTGCTTTAACTCTATTGAAGGCAGTGAGTTATAGAGTTAATATAGTAATAGAGGTGATCATAATATCTACCATGACAGACCACTACTATATTTACTTTACGACAGAAATTTCTTAAAGAATAATGACTGCTTACAGATGTAAACAAACCCCTCCTCCCCCGCCACCCCCGCCGAAAAGTGGCGCTTTAAACTCAGTGCTCCCCTGTGCTAAGCCCAGCGCATGCCCAAAAGAAGCATTACATTATTTGGACCCAGCTTGCCCAACATCTGTATAGTTTGGGTTCTTTAGCAGGGCTTTTATGGTGTTTTTATCCAATAGCTGATTGAATCAGCTATTAGATAAAAGCACGAAAAAGCTGCTCTGAAGCACCCAATTTATACAGACACTGCAGAGCCAAGTTAAACTAACATGATGCTTCTTCCGGTAAAGTGCGGGTTTTTTTCCCAAGTCTATCAGCAGCCGTTGATTAAAGGCCCTCATATTTCAGCTTTTAATAAAGAAATTGGCCCAAACATGTTGTGATTCAATGTAAGGAGGAATTTATTGTGGAAGCAAAAACATTTATCAGCTATTATGAAGAAGGAACCTTTCTTAAAATTATCTTTAATAAGTAACTTCTGTATGAATTCTGTCTCTTAGCCCACCCCTATCCCTAACCTAACTTCAGAACCTAACATTTGTTTTAAAATTGTATTAAATTTAGATGCTCTCATAAAATCATTAGCACTTGCATCCTATTGGGAATGTTCTCATGAGTTGCTTTTAGTGAACAAAAAGTATGCAGCTCCACAGAAGGAAATATTGAAAAAAATATGAAAAGGCTTTATCAGTAAATAGAATTAGTCTCCTTGCATTAATAAATCAAATAAATGGAAAGTGTGTTGTTATGAAACATGACCATGTCTTATCTGAAGAAGAAAAAGATCACAATGGCATTAGGAAATGCTTGACTTTAGTTAGAGGAGCGTAAGGGCACAAGAACAGATGATGGTGCCCTAATAGCCCTTTTTAAGAATGACAGGGCCCCGCCATTAGCATCCTTTTATATCCTTGGAAATTGCTCATGCCTCGCTTTTCTGGTTCCTATCTGCCTGACTTTTTTATTTCTCTTTCAATTTCGTCCGCGCTCGGATAAGCGCATGCTAACACAATATGATTGAGCTGTAAAATGGAACGCTGTCGCCTCTAATCTCTTTTATGTAGATATGGAGGTACTTCCACACTCCACTTCATTCTCTCTCCATTGTTGGCCTTTTTAGAATGGGTTGCCGAGTAATGGAGGCTCAGTCAAATATTAGAGCTAGGTTTCACAGGGTGTGATAAGAAGATTATCAGCCCAGCAGTCAGATCTATTGTTGTTCTTTGCGTAAGATTAAAATATTCCTATGTACTGTAACTTCGTTAGCAAAATACTGAAGGTGCTTAGGGAGACACTGAGGCTGCTTCATCTCCTGCCTGATGAGACAAAACCCATATTAGCTGACCTATATAAACTGTGTAAATATATTTATGGAGCCCATGTTAGGCTTTAAAAAAAATAACAGACAGCTGTTTAACTCAGTGGTTTTACTACTATTCCCTCCCCCCTCCCCCCTCCAACATTGCTTTGGGTTTTGGGGAGCTACAAGTTTATTTTGGGCATATTAAATTAATCTATTTTCTCATACAGGGTGAAATTCTGCTGATGTCTGGCCACAGTTTCAGAGTCACTTAGGCACCATTTCTGTAATGTAACTGTCTCATTGACATTCAGCAAAAATGTGCAGTGTTCTCTTATACTAAATGGAGGCAGGAAACATTAAGCTCTTAAAAATGTGCATAACAGGAAGCTAAAGGGACAAAATGTTCTCTAAAAAAATTTGTATGCATCAAAAAACATCAACCGGACCACACCAATCAACTTTTTGCACTTAAAATGAAAAACTTGGGTGAAAACATTTAATCAGGCTAATTTATCAAAAATTAGCTAGTTAAACAGTGTCATAAGTTAAATGTGCATGCCTTCAAATGTATTCATACTTTTCCAGGAATCAGAGTGGTCTACGAAAGGGATAGGTAAAAACTGATGCAGCCACTGGCAGGAAATGGGTATGATTTTTGATGGAACAAATCCAAGAATGTT